AAAAAAACTGCTGCGTGTGCAGAGCGTGGCCTCGTTGTTTAAAGAGAGGTTTGTCATGCAGGACCTGCAGTCTGACTGCCCCAGTTTGCTGTTGCGTCACCCCGCCGTCGGCCTCTTTTTTCGCTCTCTCATTCGGTTTGTTTGTCTCTCAATTTTGAGGAAAAAAAAAACATTACTCGTTAAAACCCGCTTTGCGTAGCCGTTAACCTGCGTGTGGGTAGTTTAGTATCAGCCGCGGCCATCCCTGTTGTCTCCCCGCCTGCTCCCAGAAGGAGGGTGCAGCCTTTCTCCGGCTCCACAGCAGCCACACCCGACACACGTCAGGGTTCAGCCGCATGCCAAGGGAGCCTCGTCTTTTCTCGTCCGCCCTCCTTCTTTTCTCTCTCTCTCTCCGCTTCGCCGCTTTTGTTCCAGTGCGCTGAGGAAGTGATGGAAGGCTCGATCAGAGGAGATAGATGCCCCTAACGGCTCAGATGAAAGAAAAGCAGGAATAATCCGTAGAGCACCCTAAGGCTGTCATTCCCCACCCTGCCAAACATCCCCCCCACCTTCACACTCCTGTTTAGCTCCCTCTCTGTACCTTGAAGGACCTTTCCTCAAAAGCCCCTCACACTCACACACACACTCTCTCTGTTTTTTTGTAAGTCTGTTTCCCCTTCCTCCTCCTTAAGCTCCGTCAGAAGCAGAGGGAAAGATCAAAGAGGTGGAGTGGTTCTTCCCATAAACATGCTTATGGAGACATATCGACTTAAACCTGATTGAATTATCTGCTCACAACCCGATTTGGGTCCTTCAGTGTCAGCCAATTGCAGTCGCCGGTGAGGTGCATGTGACCAACAAGCTGCACTCAAATAGTCAAATAAGCCCAGTGCTCCTTCTTCATCCCTTTTGATTAAATCGTTTTTCATTACCTAAGTCACAAATGATCACTTTTGTTCCCGGTTATTGGATAATATTCAAAAGGTTAAAACTGTCCGGAACAGGAATATAAAAGAATGAAGGTAAATGTTTTCTGCTCGTGTGATAACTGTGGGCAGGTCGTGGCTTCCATTGGCAAAAATACAAAAATAACATGTTAAATTAAAGTGTTTTTTTGTTTTTTTTAGATATATGAATAATAGATCAACATCTGCTCACAAAAACTGTAAAATCCATAAAATTCCAGCCTGAGATGCTCTGAGCTGTGAAACGCCTGATTTAAAACAAAGAGATGTTGCATATTTTATTTGCAGGTTCCATTTCTTGATTGTACTTTAGGTGTAGCTGTCAAACACCCACAAGATTTGGGTAAAACCAATGTTTAAAGTGTATCTCAGGGTCGTGGGATTCCAAATGAAAGACTGAAAAACCTTTATTTACTGTTGGGTTTTTACAGAAACCTCCCCTGGGATGGTAAACACAGTCAGTCATAGCTTGTTACAGGAGAAAAAAAAACCCCCAGAAACACTAAACAGACAGTAAGCCCATCTCATGCTCCTTTGGAGGAGCTTGGATTTAGGACTGCTCCATATTCATGCTGTGGTGTTGCAGCTTTTAAATTGATCGTCACGCTATCTGGAGCCCTCAAAGTCTCTGATGGACAGAAGGCAGGAGTTGAGGCCGGAAAATTGCAGAATCAACGTAAAGGAGTTTGTGGGGGGGGTGGGGGGGGGGAGATCAGCTATGCCTCCTGATTGACTTTGGAGAAGGGGACCCACTTCAGGACTCCCCTCCCCCCCCTCGGTGTGGTCACATGGAGGCTTTATGAGGGGCTGTGCCACCCAGGCCATCTATAATTAAGGATCATTGCTGGCCATGATGTCAGAGCGCCGGCTCGCAGGACCCAGCCAGCTGCTCCGTTTCACATATTTCACATCATCGGCAGAAGGCGTGCTCTTTTGTCACTGACTGAAAATTCCACACGATTAAATACAGGCTATAAAACACACATTGTTACTGGATATTGCCGCGCTGATTGCAGGTTTAAGGAGGCACCACTGCACCACTCCAGTCCCAAACCCAGCTCCCGCACACACCTGGAGGCGTCGCATATTCACTAATTACTTATTTCTTTCATGTCTCTTTCTGTTCCCACAACAGCTCGTAGTCACATCTCCCTGTTGGACTCCCTCCTCCGTGCCTACCAGCAGTTTTTCCTCTTCTTTTAAGTATTATTTCCATGTCTCTTATATGGCCCCACACAGTTATTTTTCTCATACAAAATACAAAATGAAGGGTTATTGTTCCCCTTCTCTTACGCACAGAAAAAAAGGCAAACTGATGGAGTCCCTGAGCTTATATAGTTTATATAGTTTGCCTCGATCAAGATTGAGACAAATATTATTTTGGTACATCTATCCTGTTATTATTCTGTATTTAAACGTCACGTGTGGGGAAAGTTGGGTTTCTGGTGAGCTGTGGCGGTCTAACCTTTACAGAAACAGCCAGGACTGCTCTCTAATGTCTGCGAGCCCTCAGGATTCTGGGTTAACATGTCTGCATGTGCAGTGTGTATTTTTTCATGCTATAAATAAATTATGAGCCAACAGTAGTTAGAGAGCATGTGTGCGTTTGTGTCCACTCAGTGGTTTTGTTGACGTGATGGGTTTTGATGTGCTGGTCCGTTGAACTTCACGCACAGACTGCAGCTGCTAAGCCGCACTATTGTTAGATTTAGTTTGGGTTTTTTCGCGATAACACAGAAAAGAAAATTCTCAAATAGGTAAAATGATGGCAGCTTATGTCTGGAAGGCAGATAAGCGAGTTGACTTGTTCCCAGTACAGCTGTTTGAACTGGGGATGCTGGTGTCTGCACATCTGTAGAGACTCACTCCTGACTCATATGCAGGCCAAGCATATGAGTCGGACTTATGGTGGGTCACAGTTCGGGACCAAAAAAATTTATTCAGTCCGTAAAAAAGCTAAATCTGATTTTGAGCTGCTGGTTGTTGCAGAATGAATTTTGATCGTCAGACTCGTGGCACCAGATGAGCTCATTCTGGACTTTTGTGATTCACTGGAATTTGTAATGTTTTCACTGGCTGTCCCATAAACTGAGTAATTCAGGACAAAAGTGAACTCTCTAAAGGTGCCCTGCTCTGAGAAGGTGTTGGATATGTGTCGTTTGGCTGTCTCTTCCTTTGTTGCATCAGTTTTAACTGCCCGACATCAAAACTCCTCATTTAGGGTGATGTTCCATGAGGATTTCTGTCTCCCCTGCTTTCCTTCACAATTCATACCGTGCTCACAATAAGCACAGTTAACAGCTATTTCAGCATTCCCCTTTTCTCCCATCTCGCCCTAAAAATATCTCCCGTCTCTGTTTTTTTTTTTTTTCCCCCTGCTCAAAACATGCTTTTCCCAGGCATTCTTTCCAAGTTGTGACGCATGGAGTGTGTATGTCTGATAGTTGCGGACTATGAGAGTTAGCAATACTCTGTGGTGAGGGTTGGCTGAGGACTCTTCCACAACGAAGCCCCCACCTCCTCTCCTTTTTGTCCTCCTACTCTTTCGGCCGCAGAGCCAGACATACGGGCCGTGTTGCTCACCCTTCCCATCTGCCCTCTTTTTTTTTGATCATCACCACAGAATACACATCGACCCACATGTTTTTACAACGTGGTGTCATATTGTCTGTGTTTTTCTGAAGCTCCCCTTTCTTTGAAGTGGTTATTTATTCTTATATCTCTTAATGGGGAAGAACAAATCAAATCAACCACATTCGCTCAATTTCTCTATGGAAAAACATAGCTGTTTGCTAACCATTTGGTCATATAAGTAAATTGTGGGGCATCTTCACTATTTCATGTCAAAGTCCCCTTATAGATAAATGATTCCTTATCGAATGATTCCATCACTGATTCACAACCAGCCACACAGAGGATTTATTAAAAATGCACTTTCTCCTCTGTAACCTTTCACAGGCGGAATATTTTCCCCCTCTAATTTAAATTGGAAGGGACACAAAGGAAGGAGACGGGCTGTGACAGGCACCCAGAAACTCCCTCGCCGCGTATCGATTCATTAAACAGGTGGAGCTTTCCCTGGTAAGAGCGGCCTGTTGAATAAACATGGTGATTCATCCAGTGTGGCTCCCACGACGCGAGCGCGTGGCGGCCTATAGGGACATTTCCTCACATCAGCGGACAGAAGCGGGGACGGTGGTTTAGACACACAGTCGTGAAATAAGAGGCTCATTGTTAGATAAAGGTACTGTGACACATAGAGGAGGACAAAGGGGAGGTAAGAAGAGTGAGGAAGATGCCTCTCGTGAGGTTTTCAGGGGTTACGACAACATGGGGCTTTGGAAAGCCTCTTTTTTTCTGTCCTCACTCACTTCCTGAGTGCGCTGACCAGCTCTGGGAAAGGTTGAGAAGGGGTCAGAGTGCTGCCCAAAACACAGCGCAGTGTTCAGCCGCCCACCCTCCCTTTCTACCCCCCACTCTCCCCCCCCTGCTCCCCCCCCTCATCCTCGCCTGCTCTCACCATCTCTCCACGTTCATTTCTCTTTGGCTGTAAATAGCCCCCCCCCCTCTCACCCCTCTGCTTTGGAGGTGTGTCCACCAACATCTGGAGAAGCAGGGCTGCTCGCCGGCTCTCTCGGCCCTCCCCCCTCCCTCCCTCCCTCCCTCCCTCCTCCGTCTCCGCCTGGCTGCAGCGCTCTGTGTCTGTGCGTTGCCGTGGTGGGAGGCAGAGCGAGGAGATGCTGGCAGCTGACCGTGGAATGCTCTCACAGAAACGGGACCCCGCTCGGAGTTACTGTCGCGCTTCTCAAAGAGATCATGGCAGCATCGTCTTCTCCCAGAATTCATCTATCTATGTCCTTTGAAGTGAATTCTTGCAGTTTTTAAGATATTTTTTTGGGTCCTTCCTGGTACGGCTCTCCTGCACCCGGTCCAGCGATCAGTAAGGGGTTACGTGGGGATTCTTCCTCTCCTCCTCCTCCTCCTCCTCCTCCTCCTCGTGAGCGCACTCTTCCTCCATCTGAGTTTCGGTGGAAGGGGGGACTCAGCAGCTTTGGGATGACGGAGATCCTGGTCTCGGATGTAAACTTGAACTCAGTGTGCGAGCGCCTGGAACAGCACTGCTGTGTGGAGCAGAACCAGCAGAACATCTGCAGCCAGCCCCAGACGCCCGTGCTGAAGAGGCACACCAACACCGGGGCCAAGCTATGGGGCCGCGTGCGCAGCAAGCTGCTCAGACAAAAGGTCTCCGGCTGACTTCTCACACATCACACGCACCCACGGGCCGGGTTCTCTCCCTTTTATCTTCTCTGTTTGTTTCATTTTTCCTCCTGCATTCGTCCATCTGCCTCTCTTTTACTCTCTGTGTCTCTGCCTGTGAGCCCTTTATCTTCTCTCTTTCAAAGCACACTTGACAATGTTCTGATCTAATGGGTTCATTGACTTTTGTGGGGCACAGTGATGGAGTTGTAGTAAAACTGTGATCAACTTGTTAGGAAATGTTTCTTTTTCTCTCTTTTGAGCCAAACTTACCTCATATCATGCAGAAAATATTTGGTACTAATATGGATTCAAAGAAGAGGTGTAATAGATGACTTATCACATTATAAAAGAGGATGTAAAGGCAGTTAGAAATCAAACAGATGATTAGGTTTATTAGGTTTATTATTTCTGGGCAGTAAAATAATCAGAAAGTGTTTTTTAGAATGACTTTGTATTCTTCCCCATGAATTTATCCAAGTCGATCTCTGTAACAAACAGGCTTTTTTTCCTCATTTAAAGCTCTGACTTGCGTCTAAAGACATCTAAGGCTGAGCGTGAGGCTCAGAGATGGTTGACCACCAGAGCAGCTCCCTCTGCTGCTCGTACTGGAAAATGTCACCCAGTAGCTCCGCTGACCATTTCTGATGAAAACACTCACTTAGGACTGAATCTTCTTTTAGCCAGTTCTGGGTGCGTGGACACACAAGTGTGTGTCGGAGCGATGCTTTGTCAGCACACGTGCACGTGCACTTAAACCTGTGGGTTCTTGCCTGTATTTACCTGAAATGGTCCGGGCAGAACAGGAAGACATGAATGCTGTTCCCTCTGTGTGTGCTTCTGTATTTCCCAAGGGTAAATCCGAGTTATGAGGCGTCTTGACCTTTTGCTTCTGTGCTTTCCATTATTAACGAGAAGCTCCAGGACGGCCAACCTCGGTTATACTGCCCCGAATAAAACAGGGATTACACCCTGAGCCCAGACTTTGCTGAATTGACCCGAGGGTCCGGTATTGATCGGCCCCTCTCCTCTCTGCGCGTGCCGCCGCATCTTAACGTCCAGAGTGTGATCGGAAAGTCCTCCGTTTCCGATATGTCAAGTTTGCTCTCAGTTGCATGCGGTCATTTATTCAGTGCAAGCGTTGGTTCTGCCCTGCAGGCTGCTGAGCAAATTTGAGCAGTGGTGATGTGTGTGTGTACCTTTTGATCTTATCAGGTCCACAACAATTCTCCCTTTCTTTTCCACCAACATGCCTTTTTGCTTGTTCATGGTGGTGTCTGTTGTATCCTGGTTGGGACGTGACATATTTTCTACTGTACTTCTATGAAACAGAAGTGAGGCAGAGCCCACCGGTTGTCTTTTTTAAAGCTTTTCTTTTCGTTAAAAGAGGAAAGAGCTGACCACTAACCACGGGACACTGACTCTGAACTTTGCTTTGTTCTGCTTTTAGAATTCATCCAAAGTTACTCTGAAAAACACATGCGCATTTTGTGTTTATTAACGGGGAGGAGAAAGCAGACTTCAGGGCACATTGCTTTTTCTGTTTTCTTGCATCTTTGCCACGCATGGTGATATTTACACGGTGTTCAGAGCAATCTGCATGTAAAGGATGTGTTGTGGTATGGCAGCTCACCAGGGAAATGTTCTCTCTCCTTCAGCCCACAGCAGCACCTAATTAAGACACCATGTGATTAGATATGAGGCTGACGGGGAGCACTAATTGGAAGAGAAGCAGACGCAATATATCTTCTGTGTCCCGGCATAAAAGTAAATAATGATTAATCTGCTGCCGGGTTCTGGCTGGGGCTTTTTGGTTAAGTGTTTCGTGACCTGTTTTGCGGGCAGGTTTGATTTAGTTCTTGTTGTGTACGGTCACCCCGCTTAGAGCAGAAAACAATGGACCTGCCGCTATGGCTCAGCCATGGGAGAGAATCTCTGCACAGCCATTGTCATCCGCTGCCCTCATCCCACCTCTTATCCCCACTCCATTTAAAATTATGCTCCTCCGTTTAAGTATGTTGATTAGTGTGGACCCAATATTAGGGTTCCATCCATCCTACCTGCCTATAATGCCAGCCAGCCCCTTAATGGCCTTTTTATATAGGCCACATAAATCTCCCTCTGTCCCCATGGGCGGGCGTAGCCCTTTTATTGGCCCTTAATACATCCCCCTGTGTAGAGGGTTGCGATTGGTTAATGAGCTCTTGGAGGGCAGGAGGGGTCAGTTAAGCGTCCTCTGGTCTCAGGATGATACCCACAATGACCCTGTACGGCCACAGTAAATGTATTTAAGGCGGATTGTGTCTCTCAGTAGTGACATTAAAGCCTGGATCATCCAATTAGTTTTGTGTGAAGAAAAATAGGTTTTATGTGCTTCTCTGCTCAATTCTGCTCCACAGTTTCATTTTTTGTGAAAATCTTTGTGAAAATAGTAGTTTTACTGCAAAATTTCCTTAAAATTCCCAATATTTTTTTATCACAACTAAAGCTGTAAGGAACTGTGACTGAAAATTAGACATTTTTGATTATGAAATGTTCATATAAAAATAAAAAAACACCATAACATCAAACCTACTTCAGTCTGTAACTTGACACCACTTTGGTTTAAACTCTTTGGTTAGATAACAGTTAATTTAATCAGTTTGATTAACTTGCAAATTTTTTTACTCTTATACTCCCCCTGTTTTCAGTTTACACGTCCAAATCAGAGGTTGCATGTTACATCACTGCTGAAGTGTCACATTGTGCTTAAAAAAAGCTAAGTTCTGCTCTCTGCTGTGAAAACATCAGAACAGAATGATCTAATGTCTTAGAAATGGTGCATGCTGTAAGGGGTCGAACACCAAAATAGTGAGGTAATGACCCCTGCAAAATGAGCAATAGAAAGTAAAACTTTCCAAAAGTAACAGGATCCATTACAGCAAGAAAAAAAATCTCCTTTCAGATCCCATGTGTTAGCTTTGTATGTGCTGCAGCATAACAGCGTAACTCACTAGTTTTTGTCTGTGTGGGTTTTCTGTGAAGGCTGTAGGATCAAAATGAAGTTGACACTAATCTGAACATCCAGGAAATCTTCTAAGCATTAAATCACGTAAGAACATTGTTAGTTAGTTTTCAATTGTACGAAATTACAGGCATGTTTCACCCTCTCTCTTCTCTTTTTTTAGGCCAAATCACAGCTCGGTGTGCTCCAGCGCTCTGATTCAGCCGGGCTGCAGGCAGGGTCATGTTGCATAAGCAGAGCACTCGTCTCTGTGTTGCCGTTTACCGGCATTATAGGACAATTGCACACTGCTGCCAGGGATGTGGGCCCACTCTGCAAATCACAAGTCTCACTTGTGGATAATCTCCATCTATTGGCTCAAACTAGCAAGCAGGGGGGGAAAGGCAACATGGCAACCGAGTCCAAGACCTCCCATGGCCGTGGTGACATCAGCAGCTGTGTAGTAAAGGGCCTCATGGACGTGTAAACATCATGCATACGTGGTGTGGGGGCCTAAAAATAGCCATGCTGTGTATATATGGTGCAACCACACTCAAGCTGGGATAATAAAAAAAAGAAAAGAAAAAGGCTCAATCGCAGCACTTTCCGTTCCTGTAATCCTGCTAAAACCAAGCAGCCGTGCAGTCTGAGCAACTTTCTAATTAAAGCACTAATAAAAAGCCTTCCTGAGCTGAATGAATATTTAATCAGCCAGAGAGCAGCAGAGAAACACAAAGGAGAAATTAACGCGGGCATTTTTGCATATCAAAAGATCAACTTGTGCCTTTTCGGAATGTTGTCGCTGGCATGTATTAACTCTCCCACAAAGCTCCAATAGTTTAATTAAGTGCGTGGGGATTTTTCTTATAAAGGTTTTGCATCTCATTGCAGGGAAGTGGCTTTTTGCTGCAGTGTGCACGTCAGAACAGTTTTTTTTCAGTCCTCTTAAGTCTGCGTTAATCACATTTGTGTAAAACACGTGTCGTGACTTAACGTTTGGTTTCGGTCCAATGATTAAATGTGTCACAAAATTCCGCACTTTGTGAAATTCTTCACAAATAACATTTACATGCAGGACTTGCTAGATGCATGGTCTTCCAAAGCATCCTAATCCCACTATTTGTATCACAGCATGTTAAATCTTTTCTTCCTCCGTTACTTTAGATAGCCATACATGTCGATGGTGCTAGCTAGTACGGCTTTATAGTATGGAGGAGCCCCCCCCCCCCGGCTAAACACGTCCATGCATGGCTCTTATAGATCATGTGTACTGTGATGAATCAGGAGCCTTGTTGGACTGTTGTCAGTCTCATGCCTGCGTCACGGGACTGGTGCAGTGGTAGATTATCTATTTATAGACAGGGGACACTCAGTTCCCGTAGTGTAGTGGTTATCACGTTCGCCTAACACGCGAAAGGTCCTCGGTTCGAAACCGGGCGGGAACAAGTTCTTTTCTTAGATGAACAAAAAAACTCTGTTGACCTAAAGTAAAGGATTAAGCATTCTTAATAATCCCCGTGTGCCAGCTAACTCATATATTGCATCAGTCATCAGTAAGCAGTTCAGCTGTCACAGTTTGTGAGAACGAAACTACGTAGCTGCAAAAACATCCTGGTTTATCTTATCAGTTTTGCTCTGTGAGTGTCGGTCAGAGAACAGACTGTGTGTGTGTGTGTGTGTGTGTGCGTTGTGACTCACAGCCCTCCGAGCCCTCTCTTTGAAACCCGGATTCTCGCTCACGATTTAGCTAACTGCGTCCTGACTGGCAGGAGTAAGAGACGGTACATTATCCACCACAGACTCTCTTTAGGGTCTGCCAGTGGCAGCCACATGCTCACAACTGTGGGGGGGTTTTCAAACACCCTGGAGAGCAAATAGATTTAGGTAAATGTGTGCGTTAGCGTGTATGGCGGTCAGGTTCAGTGGGCCGGACGCTCAGGGATGAGGAAGTAAACGGCAACCAGCTGAACCCCTCATCTCCTGCGCTCACACTCTCCCACAAGAGTTATCCTCCATACATCACATAGCATGTCGTATGCGCCCCGACTGGAATGCGTACAAATCAGTGTACACAACTGCCCTCTTTACTTCTGGAATTCTCTTCTTTGCCTCAGGCCGCAGTCCGTTCTGGCCTCTCCTCAGTCATACGTCTGTAACGGCCTTCACGGTTCCAACAAAGACAGCTCTAAGTAGACTGTGATGTGATCCTAATTGTCACTATAAAAGCCTGATGACGACCGGAAAAGAGACCCCCGACCCCACTTTTGTCCCCCGTGCACACAAAGTAAACGATCGTGGGCTCAAAGTCCCCGTGAAGCAGTCCTACAAAGGAAATTGGTTATGGTATTTTTATCTGTCTGGACTGGGCTAAAAAGCTTAGAAAGCTCTGCTGAACTTCAGGACTTTAAAAAGGTCTGAAGTTCCAGTAAACCGACCAGAAAGAAGACTTTCAAAAACATTCATTGCAGATATTAAAATGTTTTCTTTAAAAAGACAATTAGTTGCCTAGCTTCATGCCCATTGTGCTCACAGTCTGATCTAATTCTGACTAATTCAACCACCCTTGTTTGTTCTTATCACCCTCCTGCTGGCTCCACGGTTTCCAACAAAGTTGTTTCTTATCACGCAACACATTTCCCGACATTTCGTTTTTTTTAGTCCAAACTTAATTTTCACTGTAAGACCCGAGTCACGCAGCTCACTCCTGAGCTAAAGTAACTCATTTCCCATGAAAGCAGGGAGGGGGGGGTTCAAGTTCCTGTCTTAAGTATTTTTTAATAAAAACGGAGCCCAGCAGAGGATACAGGTCTGAGGGGTCCCTGAGTGCAGGGCCTGTCTGTAATAGATCCTCTTTGTTTTTACAACCCTATTTGAGTGCATTCATTTTTAATCAGGTTTACACAAAATTATCAGAGAGTAATGGGGAAGAAATAGTTTGGGAGGAATAGTTTGGGGTCTTTTTTTCTTCGGTGAGAGTGCTTCAGTGTGCCCCGGGAGGCATCATCAGTGTATCCTGGACATTTGCCCGGCTCCCTTCTTGGCAGTAGCTGTTTTTAAAGGGCCAGTTGTGGTGATTACCTATCCCTCATCACAAACTGCCGGGAAATCTCACTCTTAACAATCAGAGTAATGCACACGCAGCGCCAAATGGCCTCTTTACAAGCTAATGAAGTGCGCTCACCGAGAGCTTTTAATGGCTGCAACCCAGCGCCGACAGTGGGGAGCGTGCCGGCCTTGTGCTCACCCAGAAAACATCGTTTTTTCTCTTAGACCGGCACGTCCCAGCAAACAGCAGACGCTGAAACAGTCTATAAAGAAGTTATTAGCAGACTGACGGAGGCTCCAAACAAAATCAGGCTACCGTGTTTGACGTCTCAGAGGGCTCCGTGGGAGCAGAGCTGAATTTCACATTTCTCTTTACCAGTTTTTTGCAGGCTAAGCAACTTGTCCTCCTCTGGGAAAATCTGCATGGATTCAGTCATGTGCCCTTTTTTGGTCAAAAAAGACCTTGGAAAACAATCCTAACTGTCACGTTTCTTTGTGTGTGTTGTGTCTTTCAGCTGGACCCTCAGACGGTGCAGTCCAAAAACTGGCACATGGACGTCATAGAGATGAACGGGGTAAGAGAACAGAACATTCTCTGGTTTTTAGTCACATGTTGGTGTCATAACACAGACGTAATGTTTAACACAACAATTCTGACTGCACCGGTTTCAAAAATCTGCGTGGCTGCACTTTTTTGCAATAAACTCAGTAGCTTGAAAATGTTTGAACTTGTAATTGTGTCAATGACTCAAATTTCAATCCTGACAAACTTCTAAAATCGCTTCACAATCAATGTCAAGAAGTGGTCCCCGGGGGTCCCGGGCTACCTCTGCCAGCTAGAGAAAAATCCTCTCTGTTCATCCGCAGATCAAAGTGGAATTCTCCATGAAGTTCACAAGTCGGGACCTCAGCTTGAAGAGAACACCGTCCAAAAAACAGAGCGGGGTGTTTGGAGTCAAAATCAACGTGGTAACAAAGTAAGCGCGTTCAGAGGTCCCACGTCATGTGAGCGAGGAATCCCTAAAATCCGACTCCCACTGACAGAGAACTCCTTTATTTTGCTGTCCGCAGGCGCGAGCGCTCCAAGGTGCCTTACATAGTCCGTCAGTGCATTGAGGAAGTGGAGAAGAGGGGGATTGATGAAGTGGGAATCTACAGGATCTCAGGGGTGGCCACGGACATCCAGGCCCTCAAACTAGCATTCGACACAAGTAAGACCCCACTCTGCGTCTCTGTGATTCTCTCTCCCTATAACATTTATCCATGTTTGTTGTTTTCAGGAGTGTGTAATCATCACAAACACACACACACACAAACTCTCCACAAGAAACAGAAGAGTGTGTGCACTTGAAGCTGGACACACACTTGTATGGCGACAGGAATGCTTTTGTGCACTAAAACATACTTTTGATCCCAGAGTGCCTTTTGCACTTTGTCCAATCTGGTATTTAGTTCTTTTCAAAGCTTCTGAACCCTTTTGGTTTTTAAAACCCAAACATATAAAACAGATGTAAACATCCAAGCAGAGAGAAAAACTGACATGTGAACCATTATAGAAACTCAAATCTTTTAAAAGAGTAGAAGTTTTTCTGGTCAGATGACATCTATTCGTCTTGATTAGGATGTGTCTTTATAAACGGTCTCAGATGGATCTCCTCCTCCAGCAATAGCTGAGGCCTCTGCTTTAAAGCTTTGTAGAAAAGAGATTTATGGGAGCAGCTTTGGACAGATAAGGAGCCCCAGCTGCCGTGTCTTCCTGTCCTGAGTGGAGTGTCCGTGTCCCCGGCTCCCCCCCAGCTGCTCTGACCCCGCTAGGATCCGGGCCTGAGACTACTGGGGGGGGGGTCTCCCTTCTCTGCCTAACCGGCCGTCCTCTGTGTGTCCGGCCCGTAGATACCAAAGACATCCTGATGATGCTGAGCGACATGGACATCAACGCCATCGCGGGGACGCTCAAGCTGTACTTCAGGGAGCTGCCCGAGCCTCTGCTGACCGACCGCCTCTACCCCGCCTTCATGGAGGGCATAGGGGGGTGCAGCCCCCCCCCCCCCCCGCCCCCGGCCCACCGGCTGTGACATCGGGATGTGACATCTTTTTCCTGTCCCCCCTCAGCTCTGTCAGACCCGGCCGCCAAGGAGAACTGCATGATGCACCTCCTGCGCTCGCTGCCGGACCCCAACCTCATGACCTTCCTCACGCTGCTGGAGCACCTCAAACGGTACTGGCTCTCTAAAAAAACACACTCACACACAGGCGTCAGCGCTCACGGCACGGGAAGATAGCAAATGTCTTGGTACAATGAGGAAATACGTGCTTGTTTTTGAACAACTTGAACTCTTCTTCTACTCAAAGAGCGTGGTCATTGTTTCCTATTATTCAGTGTCCAGGAATCATCCAGGACCACTTCATGAGTTATTCTTATCAAAGTCAGATAACAATGAACTGGTATCTTTGAGAAGTCTGGCAAATTTAAAACAGTTTAACTCACTTTTAGAAGATTTAATCTTTTGACCTTTATTTAATACACCACTCCTGCAGCTTTGTTGTTCCTAACCATTTTGTATGACAGTTGTTGTCTTTATTGTTTGGCCATTTACCATCTGAATCTAAAAATAGCCACGGCTGTTTACACATCCTAGGGTTCTCTCCAACAGAAATGATACCAAAAAACTATCTTTTTCTTTTTTAAACACCAGTCTTTCGCTGGCTCTCCGATCTTTTTTTCCTTTGTCTTCTGGCAAAGTTCAGTTCAGTTCAGCCGGTACAGCTCCAGGTTACCGGAACATTTGCTCCTTTCCTCAGGGTGGCCGAGAAGGAGCCCATCAACAAGATGTCGCTCCACAACCTGGCCACCGTGTTCGGCCCCACGCTGCTCAGGCCCTCCGAGGACACCACCAAGACGCAGCACATCACCTCCGCCTCCGACATCTGGTCCCACGACGTCATGGCTCAGGTACCCACCCAGAGACACCCCCTTACCGGCGGCTCGCTGCGGTTTCTTTCACGGTAGAAGTCAAAAATAGACGGCTGTGTTTGGCTGGCCGCTGATTAACTCACTCCCACGTCAGCCGGTGACCCACGACAGCGCGGCCGATCCTCCCAGCTGTATTTATGGGGCAGATCCATCCATCTCTGCTGAGAGATGAGCTTCCTGTGCAGGAGCGCCTTTTTTCTTGGCTGAGTAAACAGCGTCGGGGTAAACATCATAAATAGGACAGCTTGCACATGCTGGAGGTCCTGTCTGTCAAATCCAGAGGAGGGCTGTCAGACTCTTATTCCTACTCAGATGTTCATTTAATTATGTAAACAAGAGCTTCAACTTAAAAGAGAAAGGCCTTCATCGCTGTATCCTCAAAAGAATGGGATGTTTATTAGAAACCGGAGCTAGCTGTGAGCAGGAAGCAGTGGTTTGGATATTTCTCCTTAGCTGCTGCTATCAAATGATCACTTTTTGGTGGTTTTGATGAGAACAGCAGAGCCTCAAATAGAACAAACCCTCCTAATGAAACAGATTAATGAGTGTTATGACAGAAAGCTGTTGAGCAAAGCGAAAGTGATTGGTCTGATTTGGTGAGGATGGTCCAGCCAGAAGGATTCTGGGTGCTGAGTTTACCGACAGCTTTAATCACTCCTGCCAGCCCCGTTGTGCTTTTCATGACAAAGCAAGAAAACCAGAACGGACAGAAAAAGCTGCCTGCTTTTCATAGCAGGGTTTATTTTCGGGGACAACAAAGAGGCGGAGAGCTGGGAGCTGAAACGGGGACCCAGAAAAGCACCACAAACGCCCAACATAATTCTAAAAATCCAGATGCACTCTGAAATTAGACGAGCCCTTTGTTTACCACCATTTTAGTTCCCAAGAACTAACACAACCAGTTTTAACTTTGAACTTTACTATAGTGAGAAGATCAGAAAGAATCATTAACACATTATTGTGCTTAGCAATGAAATGCATTTAAATCGTCATATTTATATTATATTATATTTAGTATTCATTCTAAAACTACATATTAGAACCAAGATCGTTTAATACATCTGGAAAATAAAATAAATCTTAGAAATCATATTCTTATGTTTCTCCACCACAATTAGATTTTCTATGCATTTATGATGCCGTTTTCTAAATAAATGAGAAAGAACTCCACATAAATCTGGTGGCTCCGGTCCCTGTGGCCTCTCTGCTTACGTGAACAGCCGATTAGAAGCTGAAAGCATCACGTTTGGATCAACGGTCACAAAACGGGCCCGTGGCCAAATGATTAAACGTGGACGTGGCGGATAATGAGGATTCCTTTTGACTTAAATGCCACGCGTAATCACAGCTCCTGGTGTCCCCCCCCCCCCCTCTCAGGTCCAGGTTCTGCTCTACTACCTGCAGCATCCTCCCATCTCCTTCGCCGAACTCAAACGCAACACGCTGTACTTCTCCACCGACGTGTAAGCTCCGCCCACCCCCCCCCCCCCC